CGGCGTGGGCCCGGACGCCCGCCACGGCTCTCCACGCTGACCCCATCGCAGCCGGCAGGGGCGGGACAGGACACCGCCCACGGGCCCCCAAAGGCAGCCCAGGCTTCTGCCCTCCGGGAGGCCACGCGTGCGCTCGCGGCCTGCATCCCGGCGTGGCCGACAGTTCAGAAGGGCGGCTTTCCTTGAGAGGGAAACCGGTGCCTGCCGGCCTCTCCGCGCTCTGGAGGAGCGTCCCCGGGCCCGGTGCAGGAGCACACGCCTGGCCTCCCAGCCCTTTGGGAGGCCGGGAGTTCCAGACCAGTCTAGGCAACATAATGAGGCCCCTTCTCTACAAAAAAATCAAAAATCAACTGGGTGTGGTGGTGCGTGCCTGTAGTCCCGGCTACTCGGGAGGCTGAGGCAGGAGGATCACCTGAGCCCAGGAGTTGGGGCTGTGGTGAGCCGTGATCTGATCGCGGCACTGCACCCTAGCCTGGGCAACAGAGTGAGACTCCAATTCTTTTTAAGTGGGACGCTCAGGACTGTGTGGCCGGGGGGTGTCAGGTGACACGCTCACCCCACCCCACTCCCCTGATTGCCAAGTGCAGCGGCAAACCCCTGCCGGATACACAGGAGTGAAAAGGAATAATGCTCTCCCCTCCAGCCTCGGGGCAGGGCAGAGGGGCCCTCGTGCGTGAGCTGTAAGGGGTGGCCACCCTGACCCCTCGTGAGTTTAACAAAACATGCTTACTTTTTAAAAGAGAACTTCTGGCCGGGTGTGGCGGCTCACACCTGTCGCCCCAGCACATTGGGAGGTGGAGGAGACAGGATTGCCTGAGCCCAGGGAGTCGAGACCAGCCCGGGCAACTTGGCGAGACCTCGTCTCTACAGTAAATCAAAAAATTAGCCGGATGTGCTGGTGTGCACCTGTCGTTCTGGCTCCTTGGAAGGTTGAGGTGGAAGGATCGCCAGAACCCAGCAGGTCGAGGCTGCGGTGGCCGGGAGCATGCCATGGCACTCCAGCCTGGGCCACAGAGGGAGACTCTGACACACAGACAAAAAATTACTCTTAAAAGAGTAGGCCGAGCTCAGTGACTCAAGCCTGTCATCCCAGCACTTTGGGAGGCGAAAGCAAGTGGATGGCCTGAGCCCGTGGGTTCGAGACCAGCCCAGGCAACTTGGCAAGACCTCATTGCTGCAATTAAAAAAATTTTTTTGATAAATAAACATGAAAATAAATAGCAGAAAGCCTCTCACACCTTGCCACTGTAAGGTCGAAGTTCCTTCCATCATATTCCTGACTCACACAGTCCACTCCCTCCTGAGACTGAATCGCCCGTCACCCTTCAGCCAGAATTGCTGGCTCTAGGCTGCCAATATTGTGACCAGGCATGGGGACTAAAATTTGCTGGAAAGCCGGGCT